AGATTCAACATTTATAATGTTCAAACTATATAAATATATATATGTATATGTATGTATGTATGTATGTATGTATGTATCATTCAAATAATTCAAATTGATTAGTTATATATATATATATATTTTTTGTATAACTACAATACAAACTTTTAATATTTGTTTGAATAATTACTTATCATTACTTACGTATAAAATATAGATAAATAAATTATCACGCAACAAACAATGTATACGTTTAAATATTAGATTCTAAAAATGTTGTCACCGCGAAAGCTATGTAGTTGTCACACTATAAATAATTTATTTATTATACTTTGAAATAGTTGTAAATTAAATATAAATATATATAAAAAAAATAACTAACAAAATGACATAAAATAAGTATAAAACGCACGGTGCTAATGTTCTTCGTATGATTTTTAAGTTCTATTCAGCATCACTACCTAATTTAAGAGCATTAAAATTACAATATTATATAGAAATATATATATATATATTGATAATGACATAATCGGTCACGTGATTATTATACTAACAATATTTTTATAGTTTCACGTATACATGAACACGTCTTTTATTAGATAGATATTTTTATGATAACGTTTGTAATACTCAAATTAATTTTTGTGTAATTTAAATTAATTTGTATATATAATTTTTTAATTTTAGTTTAGTGTAAAAATGAAGGAAATTTGATGGAGAATGAAATTGAAAATAATTTTGGAAAAAATAGGTAAAATTTTGGGTTCTGATGGTATTTTTGAAAGAAAAATCAGAAACTAGGGATCAAAATATAACTTAAAAAAGTTGTGCAACGTAGGATATCCGGTCAACAATCTCGACGAACCAGAACGCGCCGTGTGATAACAAATACTGACGCGGTGCCACGCGGGAGATCCACGAACCCCCGATCGAACGGTCTAGATTCTCTCAAGCGCACACAGACGGCCCGGATGCGTTTCCTCCCCAAACGCGATCGAATGGTCAGATTTAAATACGATCAATAGTTCAGATCCACTTTCTATTTAAACGCGATCGAACGGTACAAATTATATCACGATGAACAGCTCAGATTCACTCCCTATTTAATCACGATCGGACAATCTAGATCAAACGCGATGCACAGTGCAGATTAAACGGGGAAGAATATAAATAACTCTCGTCATACCAAACCTTAACCCTAGCCGCCAAACCCCCTCTACCGGAGAAGAAGACCCAGCCGCCGGGAAGGAAGACGCTGCCACCATCTGTCACTGCGCCAGAGCCGCTCTGACAGCCAAAAGAGGTAAAAATTTCTCCATTTGCTCGGAATTCAATTTTAAACACCTTCATAGCCAAATCAGAGCAAAAGACCGACAGATTGCCAGAAACTGAGGTAAAGCCTATCAGCGCCGCAGCATAAAATTACAAAAACTGCATCTGATG